AAGAGACAAAATATTTTTTGTCAAACAAAATTCACCTTTTAACGATTCAGAGATTACCTCTTAATGAAACTATTAAGAGGTAAACAAACAACCCCTTAGACTATTAGTGAATGTTTATATCATATGAAAGTTATTTGAATGTTTGTATATGTAGTGATAATTAGTACAACACATATGAACATGTTATTTGAATGTTCAATGTCGTGGTACATCTAAATCTAGTTGGTAGAAATATGAATATAAATTCACAACTTCATTATCTGCAATTTTGGTACAAAACTGTACCAACAGAAAAAAAAAAAAAGTTGATACCAAGTATTGTTGGCTGATACATGGTATAAAAAATTTTCTTTCAATTATAATTGATTGTTGCATAAAAAAGATGATAAAATGTATTATTATAAAATTGTAAATCTTGTAATTATATTACATTAATTTAATTTGATATATATATATATATATATATATATATATATATTACGTTATAAACCAAATTTATTAAAAGTCTTAAAAATAATTTTTAATGCACAAAGTACTATAAATTTATGCACAAAGTCTTAAATGTCTTAAAAACAACTCATAATGCATTAAATACTACTACTTTATGCATTCAGTTTTAAAATCTCTTAATCTAAAATTAAAATAACATATAGTACAAGTTAACAATGCACATTATTACATTTTATTTTCATGTTACCAAGATACTTTTGACTCCTTTCACTCATGTCTTCACTCTCTCATACATTTATGTTTTCTTCACATCCCCCAAGGTGATATTCAAACTGATATTCACTATGAGTTATTAAAAGTTCTTCCATTCAACCCATTCAATTGCTTTAGAACTCTGGCTCTCGATCTCTTGATTTTTTTGTTATTGGTGTAAATTGAACATATGTGTGGAGTCATTTAAATATGTTAGATTTTAAATATATTGGATTTGAAACTGTTATACAATTTTTTTCATCGATGGACTGTAATTGGAACCATAACTCTTATTTATTCAAATTGTATTAATATGTAAAGATCAAGTATAACTTATATCATCGTTAAATCTTTTCTAATAAAACCAATGAAACTTCAAAATCGTTAAAATTCACGGCTCCCACCGCATTGTGCGGGTACATAACTAGTATAAATTAATAAGTAAATACAAGGGTTGTGTCTGATTGGTTTAAACTTGAGCTTCAAAGGTCAAAAGTGCCTCAAGATCCATGTTCAAATCTAAGAAGGAATAAAAATCTTCTTGGAACCATGGAGGTTCAAGTACGGTAACTCTGAGTTACCTACAAAGCAGATGATCGTACTGATATTAATCAACTCGCATAAGTTAATAACAAAATGTCGACCGGTCAATATAATCCATTTTAAATAATAAAAAAGCTTACTTATTTTGTTTTTTTATAAATTAAATTGAAATATCTAATTATGAGTCTTACATGATTGATTTATGTCATTGTTTTCTTGAAAATTTTCCATAAATATTATAATTGAATCAATTATTTTAATAGTGACATTTAATTAAATATTTTTAATATAATAAAAGGAAAGAAAAAATACACTCCACATTGATGGGGTATTAAACATTCATTAAAATAGACATGGATGGTGTATATAAATTATAAATTATCTAAAATAATAATAATTATTATTATTATAAATTAAAATAATAAAATGGTAAAATGACGAGATGAGGAAAATATTAAAGAGTCGTTTTTATTTTTAATTAACGAATTCTGAAATTAAATAACCTTATTTGATTTTGAAATAAATTTGATAGGTCTAGTTGCAGGGGCGAAGGCCTATAGGGGCCTCTGGGGGCCAGGGCCATACGATTTTTTTTTTAATCTTTTAGGTAGGTAAAACTTAGTATACTATGTTAAAGATTTATTTTTTTCACTTCTTTTTAAGTACGGTCACCACATTTAAAAAGACATGTGTTCTATTACTGTCTAGGTGGATTTACAGGTACAACTATATAAATTCGGGCGCCATTAACCACAAAGGTGATGCCTGATTGGTTTGAGCTTGACTCCAAATGTCAAAAGTACCAGGAGGTCCCAGGTTCAAATCCAAGAAGGAATATAAATCCTCTTGTGGCCACGAATGTTCAAATGAGGTGACTCCGGGCTATCTACAAAGCAGGAAGTCAACCTGGGATTAATTGCTCGCATAGCGGGTTGGATATCCAGCTTAATAAAAAAAAAATCAGGTGCCATTGAGCCCCAAAATTTTGGAGGCCATATTCAAAAAACAATATGTAATATGCTAACAGACGATCATGTCGCAAAAACATACTTAAAATCGTTGGATTAAAATAGATAAACGGTTTAGATGAGTATATTGTTCTTTTTTCCCTTTGTGTTCTTTCTTGAACCACCCGTATATGTATGTATGTATGTATGTATGTATGTATGTATGTATGTATGTATGATTCGATCAAGGCAACGATCTAGCAAAGGTAAGCGAGTGTAAAGTGTGGACACCTTCTCTTCCACACGTGGACAATAAACATGTTTAACATTTATAGCATACAACTTTTTCAAAATTTCATACCCGTTTTAAGATAAAGTTTAGTGATAGCGTGTTGAAAGAATTTACAGAATAAAGTTTAGAAGCAGATGCATATCTGATTTCTTGTTATTTTTTACATAACTATACTGATATGGAATGTATGCTATTTCAATCTTTATTTGGAAGCTTAATATTTTAAAACATATAATATCTGAGATGTAGTTAATGGAACATACTGTGTTTTTACCAAAAAAAAGTTTGTAACCGACAACCCGAGCCAACCTATATCGTGTGAAAGATAAATCAGATACATGTAAGCCCGTTAAAGTATTTCCAACAAATTCTCTAAATGCAGATTTTGTACTTTTTTACTTTAACAGATTATATATATTGTTATCTAGACTTGGGATCATGTGAGACCAGCATGTTTTCGTGAGACCCGTGAGACCAGCATTTTACACTTGAAACTTCACAGCAAAATGCTGTGAATGTGACTTTTTAAAACCTTCACAGTGTTTTTGCTGTGAAGGTTCGACTTTTATTAACCTTCACAGTGTTTTTGCTGTGAAGTTTACGTGTAAAAATGTGGTCTCACGGGTCTCACGAAAACAGACTGGTCTCACGTAAACCCAACCCTTGTTATCTAAAATACAGAAACCAAAAAAGAAATTCGAGTTTAAGGAATTATATAAATTGGAATGTGAGGAAAGAGAAATAATATTTTTAGTATTCTCACCAATAAGATTTTATTATTATTATTTTATATAATATTTAAAGAAAATGTATTGAGATTATAAAATTATGGAATATTTTAATAAACAATTAACTTTAAATTAGGTCTGTAAACGAACCGAAGGAACACGAATGGAGGGTTGTTCGTGTTTGTTCTTTTAACTTAACCGAACAAATGAACAAACACGAACACTAAACGAACAAAATTGTTTGTGTTCATGTTCGTTCGTTTAAGAAATGGTTGTATTTGTGTTTGTGTTCATTCGTTACAATACTAAATGATCATGAACGAACGAACATAAACAAATGAACATAACAAACATGGACGGATAGACTTAAATGAACTAGAGTTCAAGCCATTTGTGAGGGGTGAATTACTTGAGTTTTTAACAGGTGATGACCAAATATATATATATATATATATATATATATATATAGGGATGTTATTCTACACCATTTGCCATTCCTACACTCTATACAACCCTCATCTCAACCATTCAATTTTTAATCAATTAATTGTTTCCTAATATAAATTATTAATCATAATTAATGAACTCTATTCATATTCCATAAATATTCAAATCATAATAAATGAACTCTATTCATATTCCATAAATATTCAAATCATAATAAATGAACTCCCATCATTTCTATAATTAATTGGGTTGCAAGGGTTGTACAAATGCACAAGGTTGTAAAAGAAATATATATATAGGTCCAGGGAGAATTGACTAGTTTGTGGTAATCGTGAGATTCAATCTCAACAACAAATCAATAGATAAATTAGGAAATGTATAATTTTGATAATTTTTAATTAAAATTTTAATACAAGGACATTTTAGGTATTTTTTATTTTCTCTCCTCTCTCCGTCCCCGTCTCCGTCTTTCGGCCTCCAATGATACCATATTATGATACTCAAGCACATATATGATGCATTGTGATATCACTGTGTTACATATTCGATCGACCACACAAACGACATCAGTGTGATATCCAATCACATATAAGATGTATTGTGATACTACTGTGGTATCACCGGAGGAGGGTGGCCGGGGGACGGAGAGATAAGAGAGGAGAGATGAGAGAAAATACCTAAAATGTTTTTGTATTAAAATTTTAATTAAAAATTACCAAAATTATAAATTTTCTAATCTATCTATTGATTTGTGTTTGAGATTGGATCTCACGGTTACCACAAACTAATTAATTCTCATTTAATTAGACATACATATATATATATATATATATATATATAATTAGTATTTAAATTTTAATGTATTATCATCAGTAAACGAGACATTTGTTTATATTAATTTCTTATCATCAGTTTGATTTAAAAAAAAACATACTGTAATTTTATAATTAGATTTTTTTTTAAATTATAGGTTTTTTTTTTAAATTATAAACTTGAAAAACCCCTCATAAGGGTGGTGTCTGATTGTTTGAACTTGGGCTTCAAAGGTTAAAAGCGTCTGTAGGTTTCATATTCAAATCAAATGAGAAATAAAAATCTTTTTGTGGCCACAGAAATTCAAATGCAATGATTCCAAATTACATGTAGAATGGATAATCGTCCTAAAATTAGTCGGCTTGCATAACAGGTTGGATATCCAGGTTAATAAATAAAAATCCTCCTAAAAATGAGAATAAAACAAAAATATATTAAATTTTATAAAATTTGACAATTTCATTCTGAAGTAAAAACCCTGGTGGAAGCCTCCCAATATATAACACGTCTTCTCCTCCATTGTGAGTTGGCCTCCTCTCCAAAAACCAGACCCTGTAAACACTCCATCACACATCAAGCTTTCTCTCTCTAAATATATATATATATATATATATATATACACACACACATATGAAACCCTTTATGATTCATGTGTCCTCGATACATGTTTAACGTGATTGAACCGATACGCTCCCTTTAATCAATCCATTCTCTCTCTAAAGTCAACATGCAGTTGATCTATCGATTCTATTTCTTTATATGAATAATTTCTTTCATTGTTCATCATAAAAGCTATTGACTTCTTTTTTCTACAAGAGTTTTTGAGGAAAAATGAAGAACAACGAAGAGCAATCTCGATCTCTGTTTGGTATTTCTCTCTCTGATCGTCCAAAATGGCAGCAATTTCTCATTTGTTCTTCTGGGTTTTTCTTTGGGTATCTCGTTAATGGTGTTTGTGAGGTAATTTTCTCAAAACCCCTTTTTGTGTTTTTGATTGAATTACGAGTATTTTTTGTAGCTGGTTTTGTGATGTGAGAATTTGGAAAACCCCCATTTTAGATTTAATTAGATATTTTGAGAATCGGGTTGTCTTCCAAAACCCATGTTTGATTTGCTTAATTATTCCAAGAACCGAGTGTTCTTCAAAACCCCATGATTGATTTGATGAGATATTTCCAGAATCGAGTGTTCTTCAAAACCCCATGTTTGATTTGATCAGATATTTCAAGAATCGAGTGTTCTTCAAACCCCCATGTTTGATCTGATGAGATATTTCAAGAATCGAGTGTTCTTCAAAAACCCATTATACGATTTTTCTAATTCCTTTTCAAGAATTGGGTTTTCTTTAAAACCCCATATTTGATTTCTCTGATGTTTCTCAAAAATTGGGTGTTCTTCAAAAACCCCATGTTTGATTGCTAAAACCAGCAAAACCCCAAGTGAATTAGACGATCAAACAAACACATAAGTTTATGGGTTCTTACTTTGGACTGTTGTTAATGGGGATTATGGTTTGCATGCAATACTTTATGCAATCTGCCTGCATAATTTTGGATCTTTTTAGGCTTTATTGACTATTTCTTTATCTTAATTATGTAATTTTATCTCTAATTGAAATTAAGATTAATATTTGATTAGTTTCGGTGAATCTTAAAAGGGGTCCTACAAAACGTATCGAAATAATTCTTATCTCAACTTGGTACCAAAGAATAATCCGTCCAAAGTTTGTTGCTTCCAATTTTCATGATGTCATCATTCTTTATTTGGATTTAAATTATTAAATTCATAATATCTCTGTTACTATTCTTGATCTGTTCTTGGGTCATCATGGTACATTTTGTTGTTAAACAATCAAATCAGGTGAAATATACAACTTTTACTGCTTTAACTACAAGTTGTCAATCAAGCTGACCAATTTTCTTTTAGCTGAATTGGGCTATTATTTAATGTTCAACCAGTTATTTGACTTTTTAATTGGTCAACTTGTTTGATCTTGAGTTTAAAATTAACAAGTCCCAAACTTGGTGCTTACAAAATTCTAATTCTACATTATTGTTAATCACTTGCATCTGGATTGAAGTTACAAAATATAGTATTTGACCATCAAAAGTCAAAATCTAGAACTGGCATTCTGTTTGGGGGTTATGCAGTATTAGTTTCCTTTTGTTTTTGTTGATTGATGCTAATAAGTATGCACATATTTGTTTCTTTTTCTCAGGAATATGTATATAATCGGCTTAAATTCAGGTGGGTTTTTGTTTTATGCATCAAATCTTGAATTTGAGCATTGTTTTTGCTTAAAAAATGTTGACTTTTTTTTTTTTGAATTTTTTGTAGTTATGGCTGGTATTTTACATTCATTCAAGGATGGGTTTACCTTGTTTTGATTTACTTGCAAGGGTTCACCACGAAGCAAATGGTGAATCCGTGGAAGACTTACGTGAAGCTCTCGGCTGTACTCATGGGTTCTCATGGACTCACCAAAGGGTCTTTGGCTTTCCTCAATTACCCTGCTCAACTCATGTTTAAATCCACCAAGGTAAAGTCTTGATTTCCTCCATGCTTAATTTGGTTGTACATTGCATCTTGATCTTCACTGTGCATTGTCTGGTTGTACATTGAATCTGGGATTATTAGTTCTTGATCTTGATTTCCACTTTGCATTGTTTGGATGTACATTGGATCATGAACTCGGGATTTTGATGCCCCCAGATTAGAGAACCGAAATTCTTGATGTCTTTATGCATTGTTTGGTTGTACATTATCACCCCAACATTGCATCCTGGATAATGAAGTTAGGATCTTGATTCCTCTATGCATTGTCGGGTTGTACATTGCATCCGGGATTATAACTTCCTGTTCTTGATTTCCATTGTGCATTATTTTGTTGTACTGTGCCATCCCAAAAATGGCATTATTTTGTTGTACTGTACCATCCCAAAAATGGCATTATTTGGTTGTACGGTGCCACCCCAAACATTTTCTTGGATTAAGAAGTCTGAATCTTGATCACAATATGTCATCGGTTGGTGAATTATTGTACCTTTATGTGTCAGGTGCTTCCTGTGATGGTCATGGGAGCATTTATTCCTGGTTTAAGACGAAAATATCCTCCTCATGAATACGTCTCTGCACTACTTCTGGTAGCGGGTCTAATTCTATTCACACTGGCGGATGCAAACACTTCGCCAAATTTCAGCATTATTGGTGTCGTTATGGTTTCTGGTGCTCTGATCATGGATTCATTCCTTGGGAACTTTCAAGAAGCTATCTTCACCATGAATCCCGATACAACGCAGGTTCGATTCACATGTGAATTGTTCCGTTTCGTGTCTTCAGGGGTGTGACTAAAGCGAATTTGTCGAAAAGAAGTCTGACTTTTTGACCTTTTTTTTTCTGGAAATGTTGTGCAGATGGAGATGCTGTTTTGCTCAACTGTTGTGGGTTTGCCCTTTTTGATTCCTCCAATGCTTTTGACAGGGGAATTATTCAAAGCTTGGAGTTCTTGTTCTCAGGTGAAGTTCTCTCTTTGTTTAATTCTGTTTTCTTGGTTGACTTTTGAAGTCAAACTTGGTGATTTGCTTGTCTGAAATTGATGTGGATTTTGTTACAGAATCGGCTTTGTTTTTTAGCTGGAGAAATCTTGAAAATTTTGATATTATTTTTGTCGAATTTGACCTTGCAACCTTGTTGATTTGACTCTAAAAGTCAAAACCGGACCTTTTGATCGATGAGATTGATTTTGTTTCGTGGGTGCAGCATCCTTATGTCTATGGTGTATTGGTGTTTGAAGCAATGGCAACGTTTATCGGTCAAGTCTCGGTCCTTTCGCTCATTGCCATATTTGGAGCCGCGACCACCGCCATGGTATGCTTTCTTTTTTCCAAATCCTCATCTTAGCTTCGAATCTTGACTTTCACTACAACAAGATCGGCTTTTACAGAACGTCAGATATTACTGAATGTTCTAATAAACTGTTTTTGTTAACATCCATCCGTCACCACCATATTCCAGACATAATTATGAAACTAAGATAAGGTCTGTATACATCTTATCCTTTCAAATCCCACCTTTGGGTGGGATTCTGTACAGGGTTTGGTTTGGTTTGGTTTGGTTTATACTGAACTTGTACTGATACGGAATGACGTTGATAGATAACAACGGCGAGAAAGGCGGTGACTTTGTTGCTATCGTACTTGATCTTCACAAAACCGTTAACGGAGCAACATGGGACCGGTTTGATTCTGATATCGATGGGGATCGTGTTGAAGATGATCCCGGAGAACAAACCGGCTCCACGAGTGGTTCCGAAGGTCGAAAACCGAAGGAATGAAGAGGAAGAAGAAAGAAGAAGTTTGGTGTAAAAGATTTGATTGGAAGTAGGAGAATTTATTGGAGATGGTTTGTGGGCATAAACAAATGATAATTACAAAGTCCACAACAATAATTATATTTGATTATTTTTGTTTAATTTCATTGTTTTTATAAATCTTTAAATTAAAAAAAATGTATATATAAACACAAGAAATGTATTTGAAATGATGAGGTGGCAAAAAAAAATTCATTTGGATTTGTATAATTTTAGAAAAAAATTATATTAATTTGTGGTTTTAAATAATAATTACATGTAATGTGAATAAAAAAATAAAATTGACATTTTCCTAATTAATTAATAAATTTTTATAAAATATAATTAATAATTAAATTAAATATTTTATTGAAATTATTTATCATTATTTATGAAATAAAATAAATTTAAATTAGTTTTTTATGAAACTTATATAAATATTTATTAATTAATATGTATTAATAAGGGTTATAATTGAAAAAAAAAAACGCTACTTCAAATAGCATTTAAATAAGCTATTTTATGTTTACCAAACATATAGTTGACATTGAAGAGAGAGAGAGAGAGATGTTATTGTAATTGTTTTCACTAATTAGGAGGGTGTTTGCATAATATAGCGAGATACATTTCAATTTTAATGTGTCATTTTATTTTGTTATCTTTATCGATATAATACGGTTTTTAGTGGTTTTGAGAAAAACGATAATGTTTTTATTTTTGAATAAAATCTAAATTTAAAGATATCATAAAAATTTTAAAAAAATATATATATCGATATTAGGGGACAAGGGGTGTTTGAGATTGCTTATAAAAACAACTTATTGACTTATTTTGGTGTGACACCAGTAATAAGTATTTTTGAGTGTTTGGATAAACAACTTATACCGGTTACCAAACCGGTAATAAGAAGTTTTTGAAGAAGTTAAACCCTTCTGACTTATAATAAGTTGATAAGTGTTTTTGTAGAAAAGTATAGGTTGTTTCAAATAAGCAATCTCAAGCACCTCCTTAGTATCAAATTTACTATTTGATGTTCTGATTTTTTTTGTATAATTTCTTTGCTTTAATATTTTATTTATAATTTAATTTAGAATTAATAACGAAGTAATTTATTTATCGTTTGATAATATAATTTTTATAAAGATAATAATTAAGTATTTTGTTATAACTAATGATTATCCTAATTATATTTTTGATTTTTTATATTTAAAATGAGATGTTTCTCCCGTATTTGATTATGTTTATCTATAGTTAGTTACACAATTTCAAAATTGAAGCTTTAATAAGTTGTACTTACGCACAATTTACTTGTGATTTTGAATTTTAAGTAATATGCATCAATAAACAGTACTTTATGCATAAAAAATGTTTTTTAAGAGTTTTTGTCAAATGTTTTATAATATAATATATATATGGTTGAATGTGTTTTAACTTTTTTAAAATGTTATTACAATGATGAAATTTATATAATATTTCAATAATACGATACATGTGAAAAAGAATGTAATTATTTATAAAGATTTTGATTTTAATACTTTGTTTTTTAAAAATTTATCGTCATAACTAAAGGATTTTAAATCAATACATTCGTAATTCATAACATATGAAAGCTTTTATAAACTAGTGATTTTAAATCAATACATTCGTAATTCATGATTTGATCTGAATCTGACATAAAAAGGTCAAAGGTGGACCCACATGAAATGATACGGTGGCATAGCCCACTGTCTTCAGGAAATAAGATTTTGTTTCTGAAGGGTCCAACTGTATTGTTCTGTTGGCTGTCATCATATAGTTTTTAAGTCGCATGGTTGTCAGACTCGTTGCTTTTTAGCTTCTTTCGATGTCTTTTTATATACCTCTCGTGTTTATAAAATAAGGTGCTCCAGTAAGATATTTTCAAAATAGTAACATGTACTACACTTAATGCACTGAGTACAACTCCGAACCAGCCTAATACATCCGAACCCCGAAAAATTTAATACGAAACACTAGAATCAGCGACCCTTTCGGTTTCAATAATTCAATGAGTATCTCAAAAAATCATCATTCAAGAAAGTCAAAATAGTAAAGTCATCACGACTTGAGTCGTTTCCGATATGGTAGTTAGAAATAAGGCGAAAAGTCGGTATGAAAAGGTGTGTTTTAATTAGTTGCCTTCGCTTAAGGCTAACTGTAACGCGTGTTCTGCTTCTTTTAGGAACCGTCGAGTGAGTTGCTTTTGACCTCGTCTGTATACTATGCTTGACCATTTGTTTCGACCGAGTTCTTGCTTCTTAGATGCTTCATCGGCGCCATTGCTTCAATAAGAAAAATTCAAAAAAGGGAAAAAAAAAGATTGATGTTAGAGATGCAAAAGAGGTTTTTTGGATCAAATCGTAAAAAGGGCAAAATGCATCAAAATATAACGAAATTTGACTTGTTCCTATTTTTTGTGTTAACAAAGAATTGCTTTTCTCAATCAATGTGAACAGAGTCGAGATTTCCTATTTTTGTACCTATTTTGATCGTTAATCTACTGATTTTGCAACATCTGATGACGTGAAATGTCAAGTTTATCGCCATTTTTGCCATAAACCCGTCATAAACGCGTATCCCTATTGCCAAATGTTACAAGATCAACAGGCTACAGGTCACAACTCGCAATGACTACAAAATAGAAAATTTTGGAACTTTTGGGGGAAAAATGATTCATTTCACTAAATAGGAACCGAACCAAACCAAACTTTGTTGTATTTGGATGAGTTTTCTCATCCTAAAAACATGAGAGACGCGAAGAAATCTTCTGTTCCATGAAAATTGCAACGATTGACTCGACATGTAGCTTTTAAAGTGTGTTCTGAGTATTTGTTAAATGTCTAAAATACCCTTCAATAATAACAGAACAAATAGATGGAATTTGTAAATCAAAATTTCAGTTATAACCTTTTGGCATCTTCTGGTGTTTTGTAGGAATAGACCTTCTGAAGCAGTTCAGTGTCAGAATCTTCTGTTCCAGAGCCCTCTTCAAGATCCATCATCCTTTAAAACCACAATCAATTTTGATTTGTTGTAAGCCGAGACCGAAATAAGGGACGAATCTTGGGGTAATACAGGTTTAAGTCATGAGAGGGTTATTTAAGAGAATACCCTTCTGACAGATTTCTTTTAAATGTATGACCTTCTGACGGATTTAAGAACGACTCTGCCTAACAAAAGAACAAGAATGCCTCAAAATCTATCAGAAGGTTATGCATTTAAAAGAAATATGTCAGAAGGTTATTCTCCTGAATAACTTGTCACAAGAATGGTCTTTGTGCAAATTGCAACAGAAAGACTGCACACAGACTTCCTAGCAAAATTGAGGATCCTTGGTGTATCAGGGTCGCCACTTCATGATCCAAATACTCATGGCACAAACCAAACCGGACCAAACTAAACGAGCCCAGTATATCCCACCTGAATGTAGGGTTTGGGAGTGGGACGTGCACAGATCTGACATCTACCCTAGAGAGTAAAACAGTTGTTTTCTATGACGTACTCATGGGCCATGGCATAGAACACCGCCAGGGTCTTCAAGAAAACCACCATTGTACTCTTTCATGATAGAGGTCAGGTCTGCATACATCCCACCGACCAGAGACCCCACCTCTAGGTGGAACATACTGAGCTTGTTTGGTTTTATGGCATACAACACCATAGTGGGATATGGTAACGTGTATAAGAAATATTGGTAGTTGGATAATTATCCAAGGAGAATACCTTGTGCTAAGAAGATCAACGAGCAATTGTAGGGCGCCGGAATCTCCACACACTTCCCAAATTGCTGCACGGACTTCTGTATCCGATGGTTGCCTCTGCCCTTCAGAACCAACAAGCTTTAAGAACAAACATAAGTTACTCAATAATCACAAACATGATATGGTTGTATATGTGGAACAAGACAAAACATCATGGTTTGCAACTTCGGACTGATCAAAGGCAAAAACCATATTCTAATCATTGTGGTTTTATAATTTATCACTTGTGGTATTCTTGAACTCCCATATTGGTTACATATAGACCAACAAACCTATATATATAGGGTTGGGTTCCGGTGAAAATAAGAGTGATGGTGAGAATACTTCTAAGCCATTGGATGAGTTGATTTTTTGATCTAATGGCTAAAACAACCGTAGACCTTCAATTGATTTTTGACCAAAAACACGAACCTTCAACTACATTAATCTACCCTCATCAACCTCCCTTCAATCACTTTCACATGCATGAATTTGTTACAGTTTCAGTCATGTGACAAAAATAGGTTAATGAAGGTAGTTGAAGGTAATTGTCGGTAGATGAAAGTTTTTTTCTCAAGTTCTCACCATAACTTTTATTCTTACACGATCCCAAGTGTATATATGTATATGTATATATATATATATATATATATATATATATATAGGGGCAGGTTCAAATGAGAACCATAAATATCTTGAAAAGCATAAATATTTTGAGAACGGCGAACAATCTATTTTTCATGTATCATTCATGATGAATAACCTTGAATAATCACGAATATTATTCATTGTGAATATGATGCAGTTTTTATCATGAACATTAACTAATTTTATCATGAATATCATGTATTTTCATTATTAATAATTTCCGTCATGAATATCTATTACGACATTCATCATGAAGAATTCTCATTCTTTAGGTTTATTCAAAGGAGTTCCAAATATCCTAACATTCATGAAACTTGGTATTATCAAAGTAAAGGGGTGATAGGAGTGTACCTCTTCGAGCAAAGACGAAACCCGATAAATCTCATTCTCCCGCATGGATATAGTCCTCAAGCAACTTAAGAACTCTTCAGGAAAAATAAGCTTGTTCAAGTAAGATGGCGTCTTGCGTTGACCACTCCAACTATAATTAGGCACTTCAATCTCTTTGCATTTATCATTGGTTTCTTTTTTATTCGAGAAGAACCCACGATCAAGCAAACTTTTAGATAAAAGACACCTCATTTCAGCTTTCTGTCGATTAAACGACGGAGCACGATAAGTTAAACCGTTACAAAGGTGTTTAGTGTCTTCTTCATTCATACAAAGAAACCTTAAATCTACAACTCCCCCCGTCTCATGAAAATTATATCATTTGACTAGGGCACAATCTATAAAATGCCCTTGAAGACCGAGTAGGGCATTTTATGAACCAAAATAAGTAGCATCTTCACGAAACAACTGCTTTACTTCTTGGGGTAGAGGACAGGTCTGCATACATCCCACCCCGCAAAACCCCACCCCGGGGTGGGATATATTGAGATCATTTAGTTCAAAATTTGCCGAAGATATGCAAACATCTCATGTGGCATCCCGAAAAATGGAAGTTGAATTAGTTTTCACAAAACAAAGAGAGCATAAAGGATGTTTTGCAACCACAAAGGTGGTGCCTGATTGGTTTGAGTTTGGCTCCAAAGGTCAAAAGTGTCTGGAGGTCCCAGGTTCAAAWCCAAKGAGGAAYAAAAATCCTCTTGTGGCCACGGAGGTTCAAATGCGGTGACTCCGGGATACCTGCTTTGCAGGTGGTCGCCCTGGGATTAGTCGGCTCGCATAGCGGGTTGGACATCCAGGTTAATAAGAAAAAGGATGTTTTGCCAACTCATATAGCGGTATCAGAGTCTTAGGCCTCCTAGGAGGTCAGGGGTTCAAACCTCACCAAAGGTGAGGAGGGTGTATGAGTTTATTTGTTGCATTTGACGTATATAAATATTATAAACTTAAGAAAAATGTATCGATCAAATATTGATAAAAATTCATAATGCCATATAGAGGAGTAATGGTGCCGACTTGTGCTTCAAGAAGTTGTAGTTTGGTTTCAGAAAATGGTACATCCTTGATAGCTTCGGCTGGATAGTGAACCTGTGAAAATGGCATTCGCTTTAATGACAACAAAATGCAAGTAGTGGAGTTGAAAAAATGGTAAGCAGAAAAAGATTACCATGATATAATCATTAGGATTATTATCAATGACAAATCCATATAGGTAAAGAAGCTCCTGCAATCAAAATACCGACAATGGCATATATATCATAAACGGGAGGAAAAGTGAAGTGTACGCGTTCATCGTTATGTGCGTTTGAACAAATGTATAATTTGCATGGAAACAACCGCTTTACTGTTTGGGGGTGGAGGCCAGGTATGCGTACATCCACCCTCTGCAAACCCATTTGGATGGGATATATATTGGGCCCGTTTGATTTGGTTTATATGTTTTGCATGGAGCAAAAACATGAACTCCCAGAAAAAAAATCTTCAGGAAGTCGAAGATCATGATGATGGAGATTGTTGTACCTCGTTTCCTTTGTTGCCGTAGCTAATGGATATCTCTTCCCCAATCTGATGATGAGCTTCTTCGACTAATTATTGCCAACGGCAAAAAAGGTCAATCAATATTTGGAAGTCTATGGATCATTCTAGAGAACCAAATATTTCTTTAGACCCATGAATATTGCAGCATTTTTCTTTTCAGAGTGTCCTACAAATTACTCCCACGGTCCCAAAATAAGTGTTCCCAATAAAAAAAATGCACACGGTTTTAGAAATGTGTAATTATTACACTTTTTAATTAAATAAATGACAATTTTACCCTATAATAAAGAGGAAGTATTGAGTTTATCCATTTCATAATTAAGGGTAGGATTGGAAAGTAAACACTTATTTTTGAAAGTGGACACTTATTTTGAGACAAACTAAAATAGAAATGTTGACACTTATTTTGAGACACTTGACAGATAGTCAAAGATTATACTCGAACTATGTGTTAAGTCAAGCGTTGCAATTTTCATGGAACAGTAAGAAGTTTGAGGATACCAATTTAGGGATAGAAGAGTACCAGAAAGAAGATACATGGACAAAGGAACACTGGTTGCTGATCCTGTTCCATCAACTTCCCATGTTGCTGCAGCCTTTAAATCTGAAAAAGAATATATTCACTTATGAATATTCATCTTAGACCCCGTTTCTCAATTTTTAGATCCACCATATTCCCTCAATATAATAAAAAATTAGAAGATATATATATATATATATACACACACACACACATCTATATATAGGGTCAGGTTCAGGGGAAAACAACAAAAAATTGAGGAACACTCTATTGTATGGTATGCACCTGTGCATAAAAGTAATTCATCCGGTATGCACATGTGCATAAAATGCACACTTGCATACAAACAAGAAATATTTTCAATTGCTTTTATGCACATGGGCATTACCGTCCAGATGAACGATTATTAGGGAGTTCCTAAGTCTCCCTTTTTTTTGTGGTTTTCCCAAGAACCTGAGTGTGTGTGTGTATTTGCATGGATACTATAAGGTCCTAAAAACTTGCCTAACTTCATTTTCTTTTACTCAAATTGTAGATAAAAATCCTTTATTGATGTCTTGTTAAATTTTATGGAGCCTCTCAAGCTAGGTCTACGTACATCCTACCCCCGAAACCCTACTATTGTGTGGGATATACTAGGCTCGTTTGGTGATTATATATTCGAATAGAAGTGCGTAAGAAGAAGAAATTCCAATGGCAAATAAAATGGAGTACCATGGTTGCAAAAATCAATGCCGGGGACAAGACCCTCAACCCAAACGGTCTCTCCTTGTATGGAAGAAGAATCGACGCCAACAACTTGACTTTCAACCTCATGTTCTGAAAAATGGAGAAAGGAGTGCAATATATTGGAATGAAGTAGAACATATTATTTCAATGCAAAGCATAAGCCGGAAAATAATCCGACTTTTTTCTTGTTATCAAAGTCATAAATTTTGAAGGAAATAAAAAAGAAAACCTCACTTTTGCCATCATCACCATTACCCAACTTGGAATTGGATGCATGATTCTGTTGCTCATCTTGAACTTGGGGAAATACAGAAGAGCGAGGAAGTGGTATACTCAAAGCACGGGTCCAAAATATTGAATTAGCCCTACAAAAATCATTCGTGTTGAATTAAGATCATACTCCCTTCGTCCCAAAAATAAATGTCCACAATGAAGAAGGCACACAGTTTTAGAAATGTGTAATTATTACACTTTTTAATCAACCAAATGACAATTTTACTCTTAATAATAGAGGAAGTAATGAATTTCTCCATCTCATAATCAAGGTCAGAATCGGTAAAGTAGGTGCTTACCTTTGAAAATGGACACTTTTTTTGAGACAAACTAAAATAATGAATGGACACTTTTTTTTAGACAAACTAAAATAGAAATGTAGACACTTATTTTGGAACGAAGGGGGTAGCTTATAGAGAAAGATGCATACCAAAGGAAGTTACTGAAACAAACTTCACTGCAAAACAGAAAAACTGACAATTGCTATCAGTAAATGAATAAGATCACAGTTAAGTATTCATAAGATTAGAGAAGAGAAGCATGTTTATATAAAGCAAATATTATTGAAGGATCAAAGTCAGATATACCTTTCTAAGTCACCATCAAGAATCAAAAGCTTCTTCACCAACCTTTTCACTTTGGCATCGTACAAGGACTGCAAATTCTTCTTCTGTAACATAAACCCGTTGACGTCACATAAGCTGTGTAGTAAATTGACAAATTTTAAGTAACCAAAAAGTATCAAAGATACCTGCTTTAAAAGAACTTAAAGAACAAAGATGATTATACCCAACAACTTAAAATTTTAGAATAATAGTGGGAGTGGTGCAGGTTCAAATGAGAAATGTACATATTTTGAGAGCTTAGGAACCAACAACTCATGCTTTATTCATGATGAATGCCCTGATAGATATTCATCATGAAAACTATTCATTATGAAGATACATGATGTTAATGATTATTCAAGGTTATTCATCATGAATAATACATGCAATAGTTGGTTCGTAGGTTCTCAAAATATTTATGATTCTTATTTTATAACATTATTACAAGCAAATTATATGAAATCCTGTGAAATACCAACTAACCCCACGGGATTTCTAAATCCAATGTTTGTGGGATTTCAATTCCGGACATTGCTTTAGACCAAACGCAGGATTGGAATGGAATCCAATTCCAAATCCTGGAAACCAGATGGGGCTGTAAGGGTTTTCAGGAAAGACCATCTTTAGATGAACATTCCTGTTCTAACTATATCCTAACAAACGTTTATGTTTCGGAAAAGAAAATGTTATTATCCAAATCCATATTAAATTGATTTTGTCTCTGGTTGATCTTGAATCATTGAAAATTATAGAAAGGCTGAACCTTTTTTCTTATTTATTTCTCGGGCTTACTACACATTATTCATACTAAATACAAAGAGAGTAAAACCACACCTGCAATTCCGTTGCCTTAAACAACGTGGTTCCTCTTAGCTCCAAAAGCTCATCGTTAGAGAACCAAAGTGGATTTCCAAAAGTAGTTGGAAGTACATCAAGGTACCTACCAATTCCATTTTCACTTCAATATATCAAAAAACAAAAAAAAGAAGAAATGAAATAAAATAAAATAGCATAAATCGAAGTTTATATATGTACGGTTTCCATGAAGAATTCTTCCTCAAAGACTCCAAAGTAAGAAACAAAATTATCAAGAATCTGTCATCCACTTCCCCTTCCTCAAACATCGCTGAGCAAACAGGTCCAAGTATAGGATCTTGCAAAACCCTCATCGGAGTTATAGCCAAATTAAGAGGAACCACCAATAAAACCCCTGAAAATAATTTCCATATGATGAACTATTAATAAGAATCCTTCTACCTCACCACCCACACCCTTGAAAAAGAAGAGCTCGTATAAAAATTACACAAATCCAAGTGAGAAAACTGCACACAATTGAGCAGAGAGAAACATTTTGAAAGCTCGTCTAATACTAACATTTGTATCTTTCAAAGTTAGTCTACCTAGTTGTAAAATGACACTTTGGTATAACCAACTAACCAGTAAATCCCACCTGGGTATGGAATGCATAATATCAGCCACTCTGGCCCCAACAAACAAGTCTTTTTTGTTTTACTTTATAGATTCAAACCTAGTACTTTCCAATTTCAAATTGGACATTGGTTACTTCTTGATTTCCAACTTCCAAGACATCTCTATTCTATTAATTTATAAAACCAAACCAGACCGGACCAAACAGACCCAGTAAGTCCACTTGAAAGTAGGGTCTTGGAGGGTTGAGATGTATGCAGACTTAACCTCTACCACAAAAAGTAAAGTGGTTGTTTCGGTGAAGATCCTTGGCTTGTGTAAGAGTATGAGCAAACAGGTAGGACTGTAGCAGGAATAAAGACTAGCATATGGTGAATGTAGCAGGAGAGAAATAAGTAAACAAAAAAAGTACCCAATTATGTACAATGGGCACATACAAAAAGTAAGGTAAGCGATGAAGAAGTAAGACAAAAACACATCCCGAACCTAAACTTCAACCCTCTACCCCTTCCCAACTTACCCATCTTCCTTTTGCACAACTAGAATAGTTATCGGACCCTGAACCAAGTATGGGACCTTAAACCTCTATCTCCAAGTACTATCAGAGATCAAGTCCTCGGAAATATCTAAGAACGCCATGTCAAACCTTAATTTCTCATCTCACGTCCTCCTCGGCCTTCCCCTCCTCACCCCCTCTGTTGTCCCCCTTTCTACTCTCCTCATTGGTGCCGTCATCGATCTCCTACGAACGTGTTCAAACCAACACAATCTTCCCTCTCTCACTTTAACCAGTATTGGGGCAAATCCCAACTCTGCCAGAAAAACCTCATTCAGAATTTTGTGTGACATGGTCCGAACCTATTACTTATAGGTGAATGTGTTTATGAGAGCTTTCTACTCACATAAGCGATTCTTGTCAACTGTGAAACTGAAAAACAAATTACCAACTCCAAAAGTCGAATGTGGACATTATGGAACAAAGGCAGAATATATGCTAAAATTGCTTCGTTTTAGAAGGAGATATCGGTCTAGATAACAATTTTGATAGAAATCAAAAGGTAATGATTCAAAATGTTATTGACACCATCAACGTGTACCTCCTATTGGACCAGGAATGCTCGATTTTTTACTAAACCATAATAATCAAAAGGTTTTGACAATTAAAAAAAATGGTAGAATCAATAGATTCCAACATTTTTGGAAGATCACCTTGCTAGGATCAATAATTACACACACAATAACTACTGCGGGAATGACAAATTAAACATGATTGGCTCTCTACCCCTTGGGGTATAGAAAGATCTGCCTACATCCGATCCCTCCTAGACCCTACTTTCAAGTGTGATATACCAGCTACATTTGGTTTGCTTACAGATCAAACATGATTCAACAATTTCTGCGTTCTCATAAGAATCCTTATGACACTTATCGATAAAGAAAACAAGTGATCGACTTTCTCAACAACTTTTTTCCAAGATCACTCATCCTCACAAAAGGGTATTCTTCTTTTTTCACAATTTCACAAGGATGATTGTTTTTTGTAGTGAAAACCCAACTCAATCAACCCAATAAAAAACTTGTTACAGGCATGAATACTCTTGTTTCTATAACATATTGCAATCTCATAACCCATTTTCAACTTCATTTCAAACATCCATACCCTAATTTCTCTAACAAAACAAACACATTTAACTTGTTTAAATTGCAATAGTTCTTTCCAGTCTCCTCACATAAATTCAGTATGAACATAACTTACAATTTAATGAATAGAAATCGAAATTATTACCATCAGTGGCACCATCAGATGAAAATAAACCAAACCCTTTGTTCGAATCGCTGTAATTGATGTTACAACCGCGAAGTTCCCCTCCATTCAACTGAAGAAATTTGAATAAAAGTATCAAATAAGCAAAAATTATTATATAAAAATATGTTAATAAATCAATAAAATATGATATTTAGAGTGTTGATTGGGGTTTACCTTTAACCATTCAAGAAAATGTTGGAGCTTGAGTTCTTCAGAGCTTCCCATGGCTGCGAATTATACTCATTTTTCTTCTCGTGGGGTTTGGCTTTTTCAGTTTCTTTTTTCCATTCGTAAATGAAGCCCTTGTACTTTTCTTTAATGACACTATCAGTCCTTGCTTTTTTGGACACCAACCATACCATCATTGTTCTCGAATTTTGGAAAAATAAAAATAACTGAAATGGATGGAAAAGAAAGAAAAAGACATACAAAACTTAAAATCTTCGTAAAAGAATAAATTACATGAAAAAGTAACGTACTTTAACTTGATTTATATTTTAGGTAACATACTTTCATAACTTCCATTTTGATATCTAAGATGTAAAATTTGAAACATTTAAGTATCCGGGTAATCGGTTACACGAATTCAAACATGGAGTTTGGATAAGTTGTACTTATGCACAATCTATTTGTAATTTTGAATTTTAAGTAATATGCATCAATAAACAGTACTTTATGCATAAAAAATGGGTTTTTAATATTTTTTTTTATCAAATGCTTTATAATATAATATTAATAAATACATGTTTATTTATTTCTAGAAAATATCATTACTTTAATTATGTATTTATTTTATAATATGTGTATATTAATATACTTTGATTATATATAAAGACCTTTGTTTTGATAACGAGATCTTTGAGAACTAGTACATCATGTGATGATTTATATATATAGATATATATATATATATCTATACTATCTTATAATGCATTTGGTTAAAACTCTTAATCTCTTAAAAACAACTTTTATTGCTTTAGGTACAACCTACTAAAGCATATCTATCCTAAACCCCCGTTTCTAAACCCAATCCCATTTTATCGCCCCTAATTCCCAATCCCATTTTTATCTATCGCAACCCTAATCCCAATCCCATTTTATCGCCCTAACCCAATCGATGAAATCGTTTAATTCTCAATCCCATTTCAAGCACGCTCATCGCTTCCTTCCCAAAGCGGCTCAAAGATGTCGATTGAATTCAAGACCATATATCAATGCGGTTAGGGTTCTTTTCGCTTCTTAATGCGATCCATCATTCCCGATTCCATGTTGTTAGGTTTTTTCCATTCGATCCATCACACTTAATTTCATACGGTTTGTTCGAGTTCTATTTTTATTTATTGTTCTTATATTTATTTATGTTTGAGGTTCTCAATGTTGACATATATATGCAATGATTTAGGGTTTTACCTGTTCGGATATACGTTTATGATATGAGTTTGTTTATGTTCTACMGTATGATTTGATTTTGCTCTTTTTGCAGTTTTCTGACCTGGTTAGGTTCCTTTTTCTTCTATATGTGTCATGATGCAGGTGATTCAAGGAGGAGGGTAAAAAGGTTGGAAAGATTCTGTAAGTTATTCAGTTATATCAATTTCTAGCTTAGAATGTGTTGAAGATTTTTGTTAATCTTTATAGCAAATTATACATGATATTTGTTTGCTGAGTTTATACACGATATTTGTTTCTCTGGAGTAATTATTGTGTAAATAAATGTCATTTAGGTTCTTGATGCTGATTCGAAGTGCATTGAGAATGTCATAAGATGTGGAGGGTTAGCCCCAACAAAGGCTTCTTGTATAAAGAATATGTTGAGTTGTCTGTTTGAGAAGAGAGGGGAGTTATGCTTGGAGTACCTGCGGGACTTGTCAGTTGATGAAATAAAGATGGAACTCTCTCGATTCAAGGGGATTGGGCCTAAAACGGTATCTTCAGATTTTAATGCTATTATTCAAAAATCATTATGTAGATCGCAGGAAGCTCAACTTTAGGACCTCATAACATTCTAAACTTTAACAACACTCTGTAGAGGTAGCTAGAATATTGCTAAAATAACAACTATAATGCCTTATGTTATCTTAGGTTCATTTTATCATCCTAATGAATTAAAATTTCCAACTTAATGAGGATTGAAATCATGAGAATAAGAAATTTAGTTTCGATATGGACCTTCGTCGTGAGGCAGCTGCTTAGTAGTTTGCATAATTGATTTTTATATAGAAATTATTATCGAGTGTGGTTAGCGGTCTAATTGAAGTGGCTGAGAAAGTCGCTCATCATGTGACCAGATCATAATCCCCAATTGGTCAAGAAGTTTTATAATTTTAAATGAATTGCAGGTGGCATGTGTATTGATGTTTAATCTTCAGCAAGATGATTTCCCAATAGATACACATGTAAGTTGACTCAACTATTTCAAAGAAGCATGGCAATTGGGTTTTTAGCTAACTTTGGGACATCTCTACAGATTTTTCAGATTGCAAAGGCAATTGGTTGGGTGCCCATAGAGGCAAACACTAAGAGGACATATCTTCATCTCACCACAAGGATACCAAATTTTGAGAAGATGTAATGAAGTAAGATCTCTCCGCATTTGATTTTCAGATTTTCATCCGTCTGCTTGTATGTCCATTAAACATGTTATATCGTCCAACTCGCTATTGCTTCCTTAGAGTCATACGCAACATAGTCCGCTCTCCTTCATATGCATGAGAGCTCATTTTATTATAGAGGTTTAGCTAAAAGTAACTACTGCAATTTAATTAARAGTAAATGAATATATGGCTACATTTGAGTTCATGACTGTTGAGCAATACAAGGCTAGAAATATAGCCCATCCAGTGAATTTCTCTTGCTTTTTAAACAAACTTACTCAGACCCCCCCCCTCCCAGCATTTCTTTACATCTTTTGGGGACTCCCCCAACACAAATCAGTTGGAAAAAAGAAYAAATTGAATTAAATCCAACTCTGCATGTACAATATTAGCCTATGTTGCAAGCACATGGTACAAATTTCACCCTGCTGTGTGCATTACAACAGGCATATATGGGTTAAATAATATGGTTACAAACCAGAACTTACATGCTTGCTGTTGGATGATTAGTTGAACTTTTTTAAGTCTGTAGATACTGTTCACGATCTGATTAATCTACGRATCACGTTTATTTTGACCTGTTCAAGTCATTTCAGTATTTTGATGATGCTAATTAACTAAGTTGAAGTGGATCAAATATGAGAAAATTTTGAACTTCTTTCAAGTTCTTTTCAAGAGGATTGGTGGCATGTTGACAGGTTAGAGTTGTGATGTAGAGTGCACGCCTTAAGCTTCTAGCATCATTCCTGCATTAATGGGTGAAGAGAGTGTTGCTTTAGGTAGATGACAATCTAAAGAACACCAAGGTATTAGTTGCCTTAAGCTGCTAGCACCATTCCTTTACATTAATGGTGAAAGGAGTGTTGTTTTAGGTAGATGAAATCTAAAGAAGAAGACCAAGGTAGTAGTTATGGTTTGGTTTCTGCCATGAATAAAATATTTCGTTTACTGTTTTGCTCACTTCTGGACTGCTATGCTTTTGATATTGGTTATAATTGAACATAGTATAAAGGCGTCGGCATCTGTTTGATTAGGGATGGTGATTTGCCCCGACCCGGTGGGGAACCCGGTTCACCCGACCCGAACGGGGACGGGGATTCCCCGCTAAAACGGGTCCCGGGGCCAGGGATCCCCGGTAGACTCAAACCGGGGACGGGGAATGTTACTCAAAACGGGGCCGGGGTCGGGGCCGGGGATCCCCGGTATAATCAAACTAAAGCATACTTTTTACCGGGTTTTGACCGGGGATTGCTAGAATTTGACCGGGGACGAGATGATAATCCCCATACCCGCCGGGGACCGGGGCCGGGGCCGGGGGACGGTATTACAAACCGGGGCCGGGGATTACAAAACCCGCCCCATCCCCGCCCCGTTGCCATGCCTATGTTTGATTACACATGTGCAGTATTACTTCAAGCTCTGTCGATGTATATACCATCATATACATATTTTTATATATACCGCCAAACCCTAAACTTCCGAATATAACAATGAAAACGACGATAGAGGTTGTCTTTAAGAGTTTTAAGAGTTTTAGCCACAAATGCTTTATAAGATAGTCTATATTTTTACAACATGTATTGTTATATAATTTACTTATTCTAAATATATTTTTTCCGGTACAGTAAAATCTGGATCATGATTATGTTTTTGCTTTATATGGTTAGTAAGAAGGAATTTTGTATAAGGATATTTGGATCTTCAACATTATAATAATAGTCTATTGTTTTGGAAAGGTATTTTATTTTTATTTTGGGATAATTTTCACTTGTAATTCTTTGTTTTGTCTTTTATTTTGTTGGTTTGTTTGTCTTAATTTATGAGCTCATCATGTTTTGGATACGATTGTAGTGTGAAGTGTTAGTTGAAATGTTAGATGCTATAGTGTATTATCCTTACACGGCTTGACATATTATTCTTGATTGAATATTATTGTGCTTTTAATTTATAGGACAACAAAATGCAAGGATTTAGAATTGTTTGTTTTGTTTGCAATGCTTAAGGATTTAGTTCTAAGATCTAATTTATCTGATGAAATATCAATTTGCAGGTGATTGTTTGTTGCATGCGACATTTGCAGGTCTAACCTTTAATCTACAATAGTTCTCTTTTGAACCTGATAAGGTACAAAGCCTTCTGCATTTCTGACTTTTGGTAAGGTACCAAGTTTTTTCCAAGTTTTTTTTTTCCAAGTTGCTTTCTCTAACTTCCTTTATGATCATTTTGTGGATTTTAGTTTGATGCTTCTAGCTTGATAAACTTATGTATTTACATGGCTCCATAAATCTGTTCTTGTTAAGTTAAAATTTTAATAGTATATGTTTGTGCTAAGTTGCATAGCTTAATAAATCGCTTGATTTACTGCCCAGTTGGTATATTTCTGAACTTCATGTTAGACTTGTTTCCCGTGCTATTGCTTTATCAACAAGGGTTTGTAATTGACTAAAAAGTGCTTCACCTTAATTTATTTTTATTTGTTTACTAGCTGG